ACAACACACACTTCCTGCAGAAGAAGCACTGTCACGTAAGAACGACACTGAACTCAAAAGGTTCAAGCCTGTGAACACTGAAGGCATCACCTTCAAGTGGTTTTGTGTCCTGGCCTCCAGTGCATCCCCTGCGCTCAGTGTCAGGACCAGAACTGCAGGCTGGGGGATCTCTGTAGCTGGCTATGCTCTCAGACCTGGCCAGATCCATCCTCCTAATTGCTGAGGCTGTCTCAAGACCCAGAGAGCCACCTCCAGAACTTGCCACAGATCCTTTGGTGAGCTCCAGTGCAGCCAGAATGCTTTTGGAGCCTGGGATGTCCTCTGGATCTCAAGAGCTGGCTGTCTCGCTGGATGAAGCAGTTACCTCAAGTTGAATGGAGGTGGTGACCCGAGTGGTGGGAGGCTCATTTTCAGTTTGATCGCCTCTTGCTTTTTGTGAGTCCAGTGTCAATCTGTTAGTTTTCTTGCAATTGAAATGTTTCTCTCTCTTCTCAAGAAGGAAATCTCAGTAAGAATTTCGGTAATGTCTGCTACTGCTGTATTGTAAGTGGCTGAAAATATTCCTTCTCTCTCCAAGGACTTGTCTAGCTGGAAAACTGATTGACATCACTTTCCAAACTAACTATTCTGCTGCAGTTCACCCATATTCTCTGCTATGAAAGGACTTTGCATTTATTCTTAACTAAAATCAATTTTATTTCAAACTAGAGAGTCTTGATGTGGGAATTTATTCTCAAGTCACTGTCATGATTGATTTCTCCTTTGTAGGCAAGGCATGGTGTTGCTTAATTCTTGTTAAAACAGGTTGGCTAAACCACTGCAGGGGAAACACAGCTCAGCCCTTTGCGCCTGGTGGGCTCCTGTTTTATAAAGGGAAATTTTATGATATGAAGTTACAGCTCCAGGTACTTGTTTACACCAGAACTCACATTATCAGTGGAGGGGGAGAGTAAATCACCAAGAGGTCTAAAAATAACTCGAAACCTTCCGCAGACAGGAAGGTTCTGTTGTTTGCAGAAAGGGAAGTGTCTGATGCAATGATCCTGTCCTAAAGTAGCAGTAGAGGAATAGCACCTCGTCTTTCGGGTAGCTCTCGGTGTTGCTTGTCCTGAAGGACACGATGGGACTCAGAGTTCAGTGTCGCATGTGGCTCCTCCCAAGACGGTGCTGCTGGACGTCCCTGCTTCGAGCAGACAACAAAGGAGCTGTGACCAGCGTCGAGTGTCAGTAATTAAGTGAACGTGCCAGCTTGAAACAAAGGGGCTTAATTCAATCCTGTTCCACCCTGACGGTGCGGAGGGGTCAGCAATGTGTGAGATCAGGTGGCAGAGGCTGCATGGGCTTGACCTGCACAGCAAATGTTCATTCCTCAGCTGTGCAGGATGCTGCAGCTCCTCTGCACGGGGGCTTGAGGATCTCACGGAAAGAACGGACTCATCCCAGCCATGGATGGAACCTGCAGGTGCCCGTGAGGATGTTCACAGGTTGTGACTGCAGACCCCCTGACAGGTGCCAGCAGATGGCCACATCCTGCCACAGAGCCCCACTGGCTTTTACTGGGCCTGGAGGTGAACCTCTCCTTCCCCACCATCAGTAATGTTTCTGAAGCAGCGACATCTTGTGTTTCTGGGCCATTTTGTGGCAAATCACACATCTAGAGGCAATGCAGTGCTTGATCAAATCCTTTCTTTGAGGTTCTCCTGAAAGCTCTCCTGATAATAAAGCTGCCATAGTGAAGCTACGCCCAGAACTGGAGCTCCTGTCTCCTGGCGATGCTGGGAAAAAAATGAGGCTTATCTGGAATGTGGGTTTTTTTCCGAACAAGCCTCTTCCCTGGGGATGAAATGGAGGGTTGGTGGGAGAGAGGTGTGGAAGGGGTGGCAGAGGTGAAACATCTCAAGAAGTGTCACACACCCACAGGAGAAGCAGCAGGGAGCCGTGGACTCAGGCTTGGCTGCTCCCGAGCCTTTTCTAGCATCCTTGAAACCCTCAAGTAGCCCGAACTCAGAAGGAGCCCAGCAAGGATGCAGTGAAGCTTGCAGGCTTGCATGGGGCTGGCAGCCAAAGTGCTACAAGGTGATGCCTCCTCCAAAAACCCAGTGAGAGCACAAAGGACATTTCAAGCCACATGCAGCCTCCCCTGCACATGCCGCCCAGGATTAATCACCACACCTGGCTCTAACGAGAGTGGGGCAGGGGTGTTGTGATGGGATGAAAGACCAGCAAAGGGGAGTGCACCAGCAGCAGCGTGGGGGAACCCCCTTTGCAGCAGGTTGGAAAAGCAGCTCTGCAGGAGAAATGGGAGCTGGAGGGTTGTGGTGGGGCAGGAGGAGCATCTTGGTGCCATACTCCCCTGCCATATAATCCCAGATGTCTACACCTCAGATCTGGGGCATGTTTTGATTGTGGGCATCATTGCACTGCCATCACCTGCCATTCCCCTGTCCACTGGTGCAATGAATATGCCAGTTCTTTACCTCTCTCCCCTGCAGCAGCCTCCGCTTCATAGAATCATAGAATCTTCATGGTTGGAAGGGACCTTTGAGATCATCGAGTCCAACCACCAAAAAAAAACCCAAACAAAACCACAAAAAACTGAACACCACACTCACACACAGATAGACACAAACCAACAATCCCAGGCACTAGAGCATGCCTTGAAGTGCCACATCTACACATTTCTTAAATACCTCCAGGGATGGTGACTCCACCACCTCCCTGGGCAGGCTGTTCCAGTGCCTGACCACTCTCTCAGTAAAGTCATTTTTCCTAATATCTACTCTAAACCTCCCCTGCCCCAACTTCAGACCATTTCCTCTGCTCCTGTTATTATTCCCTTGGGAGAAGAGGCCAGCCCCCACCTCTCTACAACCTCCTTTCAGGGAGTTGTAGAGGGCCATGAGGTCCCCCCTCAGCCTCCTCTTCTCCAGACTAAACATGCCCAGTTCTCTCAGCCTCTCCTTGTATGACTTGTTCTCTAGACCCCTCACCAGCTTGGTGGCTCTCCTCTGGACACGCTCCAGCACTTCAATGTCCTTCCTGTAGTGAGGGGCCCAGAACTGAACACAGCACTTGAGGTGAGGCCTCACCAGTGCCCAGTCCAGAGGCACCATCACTGCCCTACTCCTGCTGGCCACGCTGGTCCTGACACAGGCCAGGATGCCGTTGGCCTTCTTGGCCACCTGGGCACACTGCTGGCTCATGTTAAGCCAGCTGTCCATCAACACTCCTAGGTCTTTTTCTGCTGGGCAGCTTTCCAGCCACTCTTCCCCGAGCCTGTAGCACTGCCTGGGGTTGTTGAGACCGAAATGCAGGACCCGGCACTTGGCCTTATTAAACCCCATCCCATTGGCCTTGGCCCAGTGATCCAACCTGTCCAGGTCCCTCTGTAGAGCCTTCTGACACTCAAGCAGATCAACACTCCTACACCAGTTTGGTGTCATCTGGAAAATTACTGGGGATGCACTCAATCCCCTTATCCAGGTCATCAATAAAAATATTAAACAAGACTGGCCCCAAAACTGAGCCCTGAGGGACACCACTGGTGACCAGTCTCCAACTGGATTCCATCCCATTAATCACAACTCTCTGGGCATGGCCATCCAGCCAGTTTTTTACCCAGTGAAGAGTATACTTGTCTATGCCATGAATCGCCAGCTTCTCCAGGAGAATGCTGTGTGAGACAGTGTCAAAGGCCTTACCAAAGTCCGGATAGGTAACATTCACAGCCTTCCCCTCATCGAGAAAGCGGGTCACATGGTCATAGAAAGAGATCAAGTTGGTTAAGCAGGACCTCACTTTCATAAACCCATGCTGGGTGGCCCTGATCCCTTGCCTGCCCTGCACTTGCTGTGAGAGCTCTCCCAAGATGATCCTCTCCATGATCTTTCCTAGTTCTGAGGTCAGGCTGACAGGCCTATCATTTCCCAGGTCCTCCTTCCGGCCCTTCTTGTAGATGGGTATCACATTGGCCATCCTCCAGTCATCTGGTACCGCTCCTGTTGACCAGGACTGTTGCTAGATAATGAAGAGAGGCTTGGTGAGCTCTCCCGCCAGCGATCTGAGTACACTTGGGTGAATCCCATCTGGCCCCATAGACATATGCATGTCCAGGTGCATAAGCAAATCATTAACTACTTCCTCCAACTACTTCATTCCCCCGATTACTAACCAGTCCCTTGGAGCCGTTCCAACACCTACTGGCTGCTCTCGGTGGTACCAGAAGATTTGTTTGCTAAAAACCTAATCTGTAAGTGTCATTAGATCACCCTCAAAGGAGCAGGGTGTCAGTGGAGGCACTGGGAAGGCTGTTGGGTGTTGTGCCTAGCCAGTGCTGAGCAGGGGTATCTGCTGCCCGTGGGGCTGAGCTGTGCCCAGCAGCCATGCATGTGGCACTCTGGGGAACTTTTAAGAGACCCAAACTTAACACAGGGAGAACGTAGCACAAGTCACCAGCACCAGTAATACCATCACCACTGTGCTGCTCCCAGTGCCCCAAGTCCTTGTGCTCATGCTAGCTGTAAGTGACACAAAGGGATTCGTGTTACCTGGAAATCCGAGATGAGGCTTCAGAAACATCCCACAAGGCGAGGCTGTGCTGGAGCTCGCTGGCACTGCGGGTCCAGCGCCTGCCTCCATCGCTCCATCACAAATGGGCTTCCATCCGGCGCATGGATGCTGTCCCTCATCACATGCAGCCAATGGCTTCTGGAAAGGGCCTGGGTCTCCAGGACACACACACTCTGACTTCCAGCCAAGAATCCCACAGAGCTCAAATGTTTTAAGGAGCGAGGAGCTCCCTGAACAACCTGCTGGCCAGTTTCTCCCCTTTCTAGCTCCAACCCAGGGCTGCTCTTGGCTCCCCTTGCCCCAGCCTCTGCCACCACTTTCTGCCTGCTGCCCAGCACACGTGGCGCACGGCTCACAACCCACAAAGGAAAAACCCTGAGTGACAAACCCTGGCCCTGGGGGGCGGAAGAAGGCTGAGAGCGGAACCAGAAGCCTGCGCAGCCCAGACTGCCAGCTCGCCACCCTGCCGGCACGCCCCTGGCCCCTGGGACCCCACACCAAGGCCCGATGGAGGATTTAGGTAAGCTGGACCCCTCCGGAGTCAGTCCCGCACCCAGGCCTGCTGCGGGGTCCAGCCTTCGGTGGCTTGGGGGGAGCCTTGTCCTTCCTCTCTCCAGGTGAGGTGGGGATGCTGCAGAGAGGGCAGCAATGGAGCTGCTACACTCCTTGCCGTGCCTCCCCCATCTCAGGGGACGGACAGGGCCCAGGTGGCCGAGTGAGCGTGAAGCCAAAAACAGTGAGCGCATGAAGGCAGGAAACAGGCTGTGGCAGCCATGCAATCCGGGCTGCACGCAATGGGGCCGAGCAGCCCCAGGGTGCAGCGCGACACTCAAGGGTGCTGGGAGTCGTCCCTGCCCCAGAGAGGGGAGATGGGGCCAGGGAAACAGCCACGCTGTGGGGGGCATCCCCCCTCTTTTCTGACGTGAGGGCAGCGAGATGCTGAGGGATGGCCAAGGAGGTGAGTAAAAGCGTAAAGAGAAAGAGCTTTGCCCTCTCTGGCGGAAAAGCCGTTCTGGGTGCACAGGAAGCACCAAGGTTTAGCTCTCCTGGGCCAGGGCTTCTGCCGGGATGAATTTAAGGGCTAGGGGATGGTTCCTCATAAAGCAGAGATGGTGTGCAGGGGAACGGGGCACCCATTGCCGGCATCCCCCACACTGTGAGAAGGCTGCGCAGCATGGTGGGTGCATCCTGCCCTGGGGATGAGGGTTCAGGCAAGTGCTCAGGGCCACCACCCTTCAGGGGCCCTGGCACCTGGCTGGCAGAAGCTGCTATGAGGCTGCTTTTGCTCCTGAGATTTCAGGAGTGGCACAGGACAGCTTTGGGGGTGCACAGGCAGGGAGGGCAGCCAGAGGCTGGGGTGCCCGACCCAGGTCTCTCCGTGCAGATGCTTTGCTGGCAGAACTGGAGCAGAGCTCTTGCTCAACCTCCAAGGACCCCGTGCTGCAGACGCCAAACTCCTGCAAGTTGGATTCAGCCACAGCTGTGCCACCAGCACCCCGTGGCCATGAGCCACTTGCTTCAGCGGCCATGAAGGTAACACAGGAAGGCTAGTGGCTGAGACCCTGCTCAGCTTGTGACAGAGGCCGTGGTGCTGGGGAGCATCCTGCAGGCTTAACCACAAGGGTTTGTCCTTCCAGGTGCAACTGCCACCTCCGGCTCAGCCTCCGGGAAAGGATTTGAAGACAGTGTACAGGTAAAACATGGCCATAGGAGGGCAAAGCCCTCTGGGATTACCTTTTCCATTGTTTGGACGTGTCCTCCAGGGTCACCTCGGCTCCTGTACGTCCTCCCCCCAAAAAAACAGGTCCTCCTAAGAGCTGGAGCCGGGGGGTTGTATCCTGCATCCCTGTGGCACTGCTGGGGTGAGGGCAGGGCTTCCAGCCACATGTGGCCACTCCCCCCACCAGCACATCCCCAGGGAGGCCTTCTGCCACCCCTGCTGTGGTCTGTAGGGAAAGGGCAGTGTCTTACTGGGAGGGGTTCTCAGTCTTGGGCACCTTCTGGCTTGGAGGTGGAAGCCGCAGCATCCATCACACTCTGCTGTGCCCAGCAGCCCCACACCGCTCCCGCGGCCACTGTCCCCCTCGCCCCCACCCACGGCAGCCGCCCAGCAGCTGGATGAGCTCCTGGCTGACCTGGGCCACATGCAGAGCAAGGTGAGCCTTGTACCTGGGGAAAGGAGGTTGGGGGCCCAGCCCCTACCTGGCCCCCACCACCTTCCTTCCTGGCAGCTGGGGGCCAGGGAGCCGGCAGAGCCCTCGCTGGACAACATGCTGGGCAGCCTCACCCGGGACCTGGAGGAGCTGGGCATCACGGCCACCCCCACCGGTGTCTGCGCTGCCTGCCGCAAGCCCATCGCTGGCAAGGTGAGCTCCCACACTGCCGTCCCAGCACCCCTCTCCCCTCGGCTCACAGCAGCCCCCGGAGCTGCCCTCTGCCTCCCTGCAGGTGCTCACTGTCCTGGGCAAGACCTGGCACCCCGAGCACTTTGCCTGCGCCCGCTGTGGGCAGGAGCTGGGCGGACGGCCCTTCTTCGAGCGGGGTGGGCGGGCATACTGTGAGGAGGACTACCACCAGGCCTTCTCCCCCCGCTGCGCCTACTGTGCTGGCCCCATCCGTGAAGTAAGTACATGTCCCCCGCCCCGGCCTTCCCTGCCACCCTCTGCGGCCATCGGCCACCTCACCTCTTCCTGCAGAAAGTCCTCACGGCCCTGGACCAGACCTGGCACCCTGAGCACTTCTTCTGTGCCCACTGTGGGAAGGTGTTTGGAGATGATGGTATGTCCCAGGGGACTAGTGCGGGGGTGGGTCCTGCCCCCACCCCAGGTATCCCCCCCCCAGCCCAGCCGTTGCACCCATTGCTCTGACATCCCCTCCATGGTCTTCCCCTTGCCTTACCTCCTACCCTGCTCCCCGTCATGGCTGTCCCCCCCCCTCCCGCCATGAGCCATCCCCCAGGGGGATGCCCACCCTGATGCCCCCACGCAGGTTTCCACGAGCGGAGTGGGAAGCCATACTGTCGCCAGGACTTCCTGGCCATGTTTGCCCCAAAGTGCCAAGGCTGTGAGCGCCCCGTGACAGACGATTACCTGTCGGCGCTGCAGGGCGTCTGGCACCCCGAGTGCTTCGTGTGCGCGGTGAGTGGGCGGCGGGCTGGGGGGGGATGTGGGGACACAAGGGTGAGTGTGTCCCCGACGCTGTGCCAGCCTTCCCCATCTCCTCCCTCCAGGAGTGCCTGAGCAGCTTCAGCAGCGGCTCCTTCTTTGAGCTGGAGGGTCGGCCCTACTGCGAGCTGCACTTCCACCAGCGGCAGGGCAGCATCTGCCATGGCTGCGGCCACCCCGTCACCGGCCGCTGCATCACGGCCGCAGGGCGCAAGTACCACCCTGAGCACTTCATCTGTGCCTACTGCCTGGGCCAGCTGCAAAAAGGCACCGTCCGTGAGCATGGTGAGAAGATGTACTGCCAGGCCTGCCATGACAAGCTCTTCCTCTGACCCCTGGCACATGGCCACCCTTCATGCTTGCCTGGATGTCCCCTCTATCATCCCCACCCATCAACATACCCAGTACCTTCCCTGCCAGGCCAGGCACCCCTAGGATTGTCCCTGCTGAGACAAACATCCCTTGTTTGTCTCACCCTCCCACCCATCAATGTCCCTGGCATTGGTCCTGCTGTGCCAAATGGCCCCAGCATTGTCTCTGCCAACCCAGACATCGTTCCCTGCCCACCTCCACACAAGACATTCCTGGCATTGTCCCCTCCACCTGAAGCAATAAAACACCAGGCTTTGCCTTTGCGCTGCTCACTGGGGGCTTCATGCAGGAGCCCCCATATGCAGGTGCATCCATAAGTGCCCCCCACAGCACACGGGTGGGTGCCCTGAGCCCCCATCTCCCAGGGTGCTGCAAGCCAGGGTGACTCTGCCCCAGCTGCCTTTCCCCAGCAACCCTGAGGTCACAGCCCTGGCCTCCCTGAGGGAGCAGCTCAAGCTCCAGCCACACAGGAGCCACCCCAACCCTGCGTCACCACAGACCCAGGTCCTGCTACCAAAGGGCAAAACCTGCTGCTCCACACCCTGGTGAAATCTCTCCAACAGCAACACAGCTTCAATAAAAAGCTGGCTTGAAGCAGAAGCCAGAAAACTGCTTCCAAACAGGAATTTCTGTATTTATTTTCACACGCACATGGGTGAAAGTGAAGAGCGTTAACACAGTGTTTCAGCCCGGACTCAGTATTCCCCAGGGAGGGATGAGCATAGTCGCAGGCTAGCCATGCTCTGGGGGGACAGCCCTTGCTCCAGGCTTTTTAAGGATGCACTCAGCACTAGAGAAATGATGGTATTTCTCCACTTGTGCAAAGTCTACCAGCCACCACAGGAGAGGGGAAATTCAGGGAAAGGCTTCCCAGCAGGAAGCCCTAATGCTCTGTGGAGAGCTCACCTCCTGAGCAGCCCCAAGCACCCTGCAAAGACTGTCAGAAGCTCAGTACAAAGCAAAGTTTTGGTGCCTTTTATTTTTCCTCCAATCTTTTGCTAGAAAGAGGAGGAAATGTCACACTGTAGAGGATTTGCTGCACAACAGCATGTTTTAGAACCACACGCAACCAAGCAACACTCAAGAGTGCAGCCCAGGCCCCCTGGAAAAGACACTTGGTCCTAACTGCAAAGCTAAAAACGCCAAGGTGGCAGCCACAGACACACTTTAAAAACTTTATTTATATAAAAAAATCATTTTGTTTCAAAAGCGTTACAAGAGTGTGCAGAGGAATCAGACAAGGAACGGGTTGTTGCTCCCCACTCCCCTCCTCCCTTGCTCCACTCCCCACCAGGGCAGGGGAGGAGAGGAGCGGGAAGCTTTTTTTTTTTTGGTTCATTTGGAATTAAAAATTAAAAAAGGAATTAGTGTTTTACATATTTAAAGGAAAAGAGTTAGACCCCAGAACAGAACGAAAGTGAGCTGAGGTGGGGCTGGAGCCACAGAGGGTTCAGCCGGAGCTGGGAGGTGAGTTTGGGCAGAGGAGGGGGCAGGAGCAAGGCACCAGTTCTGCCTGCTGCAGCCCCCCCGCTCCTGCCCGCAGTTCGGGGGGAGTCCCAGGCTGGGGAGGGCTCCCCCTCCAGTTTGTAGCCTCCTACAGAGGCTTCCAGTTGCACAGGGAGCCCATAGGCTCCCCAAAAGATCACAGCACTTACATGTGCCCCCACAACTGCAGCAGAGAGGAAGAGGATGTTTATGTCCTAGCTCCAGTGGCAGCCCAGTCTCCCCAGGACAGGAGGCAGAGGGGGCAGGGGGGCTAGGATCCCCCCAGAGTAGGCTTCCAGCCCCACTGCAGACAGTGAAGGCTCCCGGCAGGGACAGGAAGTGCTCAGCCCTGCCAGAAGCCCAGGAAACACCCCTTCCCAAGGAAGAAGCCAGACAGTACGATTCGAAGAGCTATTTCACAGTGGCAAAAGAAAGGCACGTGTCAATAGAAGTCCAAGGGGCACCGCGGTGGCAGCTGGCGCACGGGAATGAGGGGGGGTCCTAGCTCTGCCCACCTGCAGCCCTGCCAGCGCCTGCTCCTCGCACATTGCACCCCAAAAGCCCTGCCGCGTCTCCTCCTTCCACAGGGACCCATCACCCCCCATGCAGGGAGGTCCATCCCAAGACCCCACACTGACCAACCACATCCGGATCCCTCCTCACACAGTCACTGGGTAGGGGCGAGCAGCCCCGTCCAGATTCCTCCACAGGATTCAGAGCCAGATCCCCCTTCCCATGCCCCTGAAGCCTCATCTAGAGCAAAGCAAGAGAAGTTATTGCTGTTTTTCCTTCCCCTCATGACTCCAGCCCCCCCTCATCCTGGTCCCACCGTGACCAGGGGAGGGATGCTCCCATTGTCCCCACAGCCCTGGTTGAAGAGTGATCCCACACAAAAATATATCCTATAAACAACAAAACAAAACACGGCGAGTGAGGTCCCAGTCTCTGTCCCTGCAGACATCTCCAAGCAGAGGGAAAGCACGGGAGAGAAGGCAGTTCCTGGTCAAGGCAGAGATCCAGAGTCCTTTTGCAGCATCCACGCCGGTCGACCCGGCAGAGTCAGGCAGGAGGGTTTTACTCTCAGGAGGAAAGAGGTGGTGGAGGACAGGGAGGAAGAGTTATTGGTCGAAGTGTCCCAGAAGGGGAGGTGCAGCGGTCTAGAGGAGGCAGAGTGGCCCGGGCTGTCCCTGGGGGACAGGCCCAGTCGTTTGGCTGGCTAGTTGGCACAAACAGTCCAGCAAGAAATCCAAAAATAAGACAAGGTAAAAGTCGGTCCATTCCACCACGAAGAGTTATATATATATATTTATATATATAATATATTATCAACCCAAACTGAGTGGAGGCGGGGACGGCAGCTAGATCTTCTGCTGTGGAGAGAGAGTGAGAGACATTAGCATGCCCAGAGAGTGAGCAAGCAGCTGAGACATGATCATGGCCCCGATGGATCAGGCAGCGATTGCAGGCAGCAGTGATTAGAGCAGGATTTGGCTGGCCAAAGCACCCCTAACAGCACAGCAGGATCTGTCACCGCTGTTCAGATTGGGTAGGACGCTGCAGGACATACCGACACAGGGGGAAACACAGCAGCATCCTCCTCTGCCTCCACTACCTCAGGCTGCGGTTCCTGCCCCTCCTCCTGCTGCAGACACATGGGGTTAGTAGGGGCGATGGAGCGGGGTGGGGGTGTTAGTGGTGGGAGCCGAGTTCTCCCCTCCTCCTGCCAGCCAGGACAGCGATGTGTCATCTCCTGCACCCCAGTCCTGCTCAATCTTCTCTTGTTAGGAAGAGCTGCTTACCATCAATGGTGCTGCCTTCACCGGCTCCATATCTCCAAGGTCACCAGATCGGTCCAGTGTCCTGCTATGGTCCCTCTCATTGAGTGTGGAATAGTTGTCTGGAGCCGGAAAGGGGACAGTCAGTCATGTCACCTCCATGGGAGGCAGCATCATCCCCACAGGAGATGCAAGCTCTGCCCCCTCCTAGCAAGACGGTCCCCCTTCCAGTCCCTCTCCTACCTGGTCCCATGTTGCTCATCTGGATCTCCTCCCGGGAGGATTTCTTGTCTAAAAGTATGGGACAGCAGCATGTCAGACACAGCCCCTGCAGCCATGAGCAGCAGAGGAACCACTGCCTGCCCCAGCAAGCAGAGCCCAGACCCAGCTGCAGCACTGGTGACCCAAGGATGCTACAGGACCTACATTAACTATATGCCTCATTTCTAGCCCTGAAAAGCCATCTAAAGCCCAAATTGATGGCTTTGTGCAAGCAGCTGTGGCTGCCAAGAAAGCCAGGGCTGAAGAGCAGGGAGGGGACAAAGGCCAAGTTGTTCTGGGTACCCACAAGGCACAAGGATGACAGTGGAGACAGGTACTGAAGAGAAGGCTCATACCTGTTTTTTGGTTCCTGTCGATGAGAGGCAAGGTGCTGTCATCAAATGAGTTGCCCCCCTGGGTCCGAGAGGCATTGCTCAGGTTCACCTGGGGTGTCAGACAGCAACCACTCACACCCTGGTCCAGATGCCCCTTCCCCATCAAGCACAACCCACCCCTCGAGCGCCCAACACCAGGATGGACCCAGGAACCCTCCCACAGCCCTCGAACAAGGGCCCTGAAACAACCAGAGGGTGCTCCAGAGCCCATGGCTGCACCCACATCAAAGAACGGGGATGGCCTGCCTTGACTGGGCAGGCCACCCAGCAACAAGGACAGTCCCAGCTTTTGGGAAAGAATCTGAGTCCTGAAGAACCTTGCTCTTCAGTGCTGCCACAGTGGCTTTTAGTGCTGCAAACTTTCATGCCTACATATCTGCATGCTTACAGGTGGGACACCAGGCTTAAAGCTTTACAGAGTGTTTCTCCCTTAGTAGAGACTTCTGGCTGGCCATCCACTGAGAAATGGTTGGCCCAAGGGGACACCTTCAAGGGTCTGCAATCCCACCAGCAAGGGTCTCCATCCCACCAGAAATCCAGTACTGCTGAGCTCCAGGAACACCCTTCTCCCTGCCACAGGGCCCTACCTACAACAGGGGATCCCCATTCCCCTATTCTCATACCTGGAAATCTGACTTCTTCCAGCCTTCCTTCTCCAGGGGCTTCCGCAGCTCTTTATATCCCCAGACTGTCTGCAGGACGAGGGCAGCTGCTCGGACTTCTCTCTCTGAGCGGTTCCTAGAAAGACACAAAGGAAGAGATGTTTGGAAATACCCATGGCCTCGATGAAGCTCCTGAAGAAGCCCCTCTCTGCCCATGGCATTGTCCTTCGAGCAGAGCCTACCCAGATTTGTTGATCAGCACCAACTTCTCAATTCCCTGTGTTTCCCGCAGCTTCTTGGCAGCCTCAAGATTGTCTACAATGACTTCATTGATGGTGTTGAGGATTGACACCACTGTGTCCTCAGAGAGGTTTTTGGCTGGGGTCTGCTGGCCTCCAGGCAGGTTCTTCACTAGGTTGGGGATGGCATGTTTACCTGGCAAGGGGAAAGAGCCAGGCGTGAGCAAGTGAGGAAGAGAACTGCAAGGGAAAAGACATCGCTGCAGAAAGATCAGGGACAGGTGAGCAATTCTTAAGTCCTTCTCAGTGGAGCTCAGCACTTGCTACTCTGGGAGGGGGGCAGCAGACAGACACTGAGCTGATGCCCTGCCCACACACTCTCAGCTGCCAAGACCAGAAGGAAGTTCCTGCCTAACCTGGACAGACGCAGACAGCAGGATGTTCTCTCCTGCACAGCCCTCACCTATCAGCTCTTTGTTACGCAAGTCGACAGCCAGGTTGCGCAGGGCTCCGGATGCTGCTTTCACCACGCGCTCGCTGTCGTGGGTGAGGAGGTCGGCGATGGCAGAGAGTCCCTTCTCCTGGCGCAGCGCTGAGCGGATGTACCGGCCGTACTGCGGGGTAGAGGCAGAGCACACCCCGTCACCTGGGCAGGCACAGTCTCTCCTGCTCCTGGGGCTGGGGGACACCACTGGAGCCCTGCCACCCAGCCTCATCTTGAGAGCTGGGAGCCCTAGCTTCACCCACAGCAAGACAAGATCGCAAAGGTCCCATTCCTGACCCAAAGGCCCCCTTGCAGGCCAGGCAAGCA